GCCCCGGCTCCTGCCGGGACACAAGACCGCCCAGGGACACCCTTTTTGGCGCCCGCTCTTTGCGGCAAAGGCTTTGGGCTCGCTCGCCCTGGCCTTGGTCGTCCTCCTTGGGAAGGCTCCTGGCGCGCCCCGTGGCCGCTGGCCGCAGGCTGGCGATGGCTCTAGGGCCACCCAGCAGCTCCTATTTTGTGGCGCCGGCGTGGCCGTGCCGGGCAGAGCGGGAGCTGTGTCTCGCGACTCCTTGGGGTCTGGTGGGCGCAGGGCTGCGAGGCCTTTGTGCCCAGCCAGGGTGGCGCGGGGGGCTTCCTTGGTGCCCTGGCAGGAGCCGGGGCCAGCTGGCGGAGCTGGGCGGCCGCAGCGGTTGGCGAGGGGCATTTCTAATATCCCCGAGCGCTACTCCTAAACTGTCAGGCCGTTTCAAAGCTGCCGGCGTTGGTGTTTCCAGTCGTGTTCTGTGGAGAGACTGAATCCTTCTTTCCGTGTGTCTCTGCCCAGGACTGTGGAAGATACGGAGCCTGTGGCTGTTGTGTGTTCTCGGTGGTTTGGAAATGCGGTTTGGTCTTGCAGCTGAAGAGTGTGAGGGTTGTGAGGTGCTCCCCTGGTTTCAGGGGTTGTGTAGGTGGGGATGATTTTGGCAGGAGTGCGAATCGACCACCTGCTCAGTTGCAGCTGAAATGGGATATTAACCAAATTTGGTATTATGCTTGCACGAGACAAGAGACATTGCCTGTTTTGCTCTGCCTCTGTTTCCTATTCAAAAGAGGGCCCCCCCTTTCCTTCCCTTAAATAAGTGTGTATCAGCAAAAGATCACCTCACAACCGGCACAAACCAGCTCTGCGGTTTAGCCCAGGTCCAGGAGGCGACAGAGACTGCGCAGGAATTCAGGATGAAAAGTTAAGCAGTGAGGAAGAGGAGATACTTCCTCCCACGACCACTGCCCAGCTCTTCACGACCCCCCGCCCAGGACCAAAGGAACTCCCTGCGCAGCCGCAAGGAGGAGGAGACCTAATTATAATAAGAAGCGAGGGTAGGCGGGAATAGGTTATGAATATGCATAGGCGTCTCAGTGAATATGCAACGCTTTGTAACATAGAAGCAAGACTAGCAGGGCAGGGGGGCGCGCATGCTTGTTGTGGCGGAGCCATCCCCCACGTGCCCGGCGCCGAATAAACATACCTGCTTTACAACCCTTTGTTGTGAAGTCTTTCATCCGTAAATCACAGCTTTCCCGGTGGGAAAAGCTTGTAGCCATGCTGAGAGGTGAGGCGCGGTTAGCAGAGGGGCTCGTGTCCCTTGACGGGAGGCCGGTCCGAAGAATCGAGTGAGCGTCTTCGGATTGGAGAGGGTGCCCGCGGGATTTCCGGCGATGAAAGCAGGCGCCCCCTTGTCGGTCGGACGGACGCTGAGGAAGCCACGCAGCAGCACGAGGTGCCCAGGGGCGGGCCGTGGGAAAAAATGCCTTCCTTTTCCCGCGCGATGTGCCGAGGGAAGGTGAAGGGTGAGCCTGGGGCGCGGGTGGCCCCGAAGGTGCCCGGGGCAGTGGTCGGGGGGTGGCAGGCGTGGTGGTGCGCTGGGAGCCGAGAGGCCGGGAAGGTGCTGTGGCAGGGTCCCCGGTGGGTGTGGCGAGTGTGCGAGGGCTTTGCTCGGGCTGGGTTTGGCGAGGGCGAGTGTGCGGCCCGGCCTGTTGTCAGGAGCCTTTGTGGAGCTGGTGGAGCGGGAAAGGAGGCGGAGCTAAAGGCGGTGCTGGGGGGCGGAGCTGGCGGGGGCCACGGTGCAGCTACCCTCCCCTTAACAGGCCCCCCGGGGAAGCTAAGCAGGAGCGGCCCCGGTTCCAACCGGGATGGGAGACCGCAGGGGAGACTAGGGGCGGCCCCGGCTCCTGCCGGGACGGAAGACCGCCAGGGGAGACTGTAGGGGCGGCCCCGGCTCCTGCCGGGACACAAGACCGCCCAGGGACACCCTTTTTGGCGCCCGCTCTTTGCGGCAAAGGCTTTGGGCTCGCTCGCCCTGGCCTTGGTCGTCCTCCTTGGGAAGGCTCCTGGCGCGCCCCGTGGCCGCTGGCCGCAGGCTGGCGATGGCTCTAGGGCCACCCAGCAGCTCCTATTTTGTGGCGCCGGCGTGGCCGTGCCGGGCAGAGCGGGAGCTGTGTCTCGCGACTCCTTGGGGTCTGGTGGGCGCAGGGCTGCGAGGCCTTTGTGCCCAGCCAGGGTGGCGCGGGGGGCTTCCTTGGTGCCCTGGGAGGAGCCGGGGCCAGCTGGCGGAGCTGGGCCGGCCGCAGCGGTTGGCGAGGGGCATTTCTAATATCCCCGAGCGCTACTCCTAAACTGTCAGGCCGTTTCAAAGCTGCCGGCTGAAACAAAAAGGGGCCCAAACAATAGGCCTCAAACCAAAGTTCACTTCTGAGTGAATTCCCCGACCAGCAATCAGCATCTTATCAGCAGACTGAAGCAACCCGTATCTTATCAGCATGAAAACGTAACCCTGGGAACAATCCCTGGGAACTATAAGTAAACAATAGGAAGTAACTATAAATCCCAAATGTAAAGAAAAACAGAAACTCCTCGGGCATGGCCGGATCCTGGCCAGATCCGGACACGCCTGAGTGAGCCATATCAATCTACCAGATATCTCCTGTGCGTTTTGTTTAGACTTGTTTGTTAAACTCTATAAAACCTGGACCCTCTCACAGCACAGACGCAGACCTCACCTACGAGCGGACGCACTGCGTGGGACTTCCCAATTGCCGGGAAAGCCTCTCCGACCCTTCAGCTGTGACGGGGCTCCCCAGCTGATGCACGGATCTGGATGACGGTAAAGTATGAGGGCAATTGGTGATGGATCTTTCTTAATCACTACAGCTAGCTTTAAATAGTAATGTCTAGGTGCATTACCTTGCTTATTCTTTCTGCTGTTTTAAACTAAAGTAAAATAAGCCTATTTCTTTAGCTTGGTGTCTGTGTCCTTTGTGTTAAGCCCGTTAATTGGCAAAACAAATTTGGCGTCAGGGACAGGATTAGAACAAAATGTCATTTTTTAAATCTAACCGTAAGGAATCAGCTCCATCTGAAATTCCTGGATGGGAAGACCTTCCTTATAGTTCACTGGCTCTTGAGTGGGCTAAGGTCGGAGGACCATGTGAACAGTGGGAAAGTCGGCTAAAAGAAGCTGAACCACTGGATGCTATTAAAATGTATCCAAAAATTATCTATTGAAAAAGGAAAAGAAATTGTGTGTTCGGGAAGACGGGGATGGGTTTTGTTAACAGCATATCGGAAACAGCACCAACAGAAAGAAAAACTGTTGTTGGAGCGCTCCCACATGGAGCGACAGATGTGTGATTTGCAGAATCAAATTGTATCGTTACGGTGTCAAAACAAGTTGCTTGCCGATAAGTTGGATACTTATCAGACTGTAGCTGAAACAGCTGCAGTAAGAGTTGCACAGTATAAGTATAAGAAAAGAAGGGGACGAGTAAACCATAGGAAAGTGCATGCTGCGATTGCAGAAGCAGGGGTACGGTGGGATCCTGACAGATGGGATGGAGATATTTGGGATTCTACAGGTTCTGATGAGGCTCGTTCCTCAGATGAACCTGTGGATGTAAAACCAGTGTGGAGACGGAAAATAGAATTGGATACTAACGGGCAACAAGTAAGGAAGGATGGGATTGAAGATTATACTCAGCATCAAATAAATGATATAATGGAAAGATTTAAGCAGAGACTGGGGGAACCCCTGCTCTCTTGGATGGTGCGTTTGGACGATCAGGGAGCAGCAGGGTTAACCCTAGAGCCAGGGGAATCTAGGAAGTTTTTAGTTTTGAGTTCTGACTCCTTTGTGCAAGATGCATTCCGAAATAATCCTCAGGATACAAATTTTGTTAACCTTGGCTGCCCAGAGATGTAATAATAAATACCCCACGGAGAATGATTGGCCAGGTGGGGAACGTCCCTGGTATACTTTGCGAGATTGCATACAGCGGATGAAGGAGGAAGGTATGAAATTGGCAATTTTTATAGGAGACCTCACCTACGAGCGGACGCACTGCGTAGGACTTCCCAATTGCCGGGAAAGCCTCTCCGACCCTTCGCTGTGACGGGGCTCCCCAGCTGATGCACGGATCTGGATGATCGGTAAAGTATGAGGGCAATTGGTGATGGATCTTTCTTAATCACTACAGCTAGCTTTAAATAGTAATGTCTAGGTGCATTACCTTGCTTATTCTTTCTGCTGTTTTAAACTAAAGTAAAATAAGCCTATTTCTTTAGCTTGGTGTCTGTGTCCTTTGTGTTAAGCCCGTCAATTGGCAAAACACCGGCGTTGGTGTTTCCAGTCGTGTTCTGTGGAGAGACTGAATCCTTCTTTCCGTGTGTCTCTGCCCAGGACTGTGGAAGATACGGAGCCTGTGGCTGTTGGTGTGTTCTCGGTGGTTTGGAAATGCGGTTTGGTCTTGCAGCTGAAGAGTGTGAGGGTTGTGAGGTGCTCCCCTGGTTTCAGGGGTTGTGTAGGTGGGGATGATTTTGGGCAGGAGTGCGAATCGACCACCTGCTCAGTTGCAGCTGAAATGGGATATTAACCAAATTTGGTATTATGCTTGCACGAGACAAGAGACATTGCCTGTTTTGCTCTGCCTCTGTTTCCTATTCAAAAGAGGGCCCCCCCTTTCCTTCCCTTAAATAAGTGTGTATCAGCAAAAGATCACCTCACAACCGGCACAAACCAGCTCTGCGGTTTAGCCCAGGTCCAGGAGGCGACAGAGACTGCGCAGGAATTCAGGATGAAAAGTTAAGCAGTGAGGAAGAGGAGATACTTCCTCCCACGACCACTGCCCAGCTCTTCACGACCCCCGCCCAGGACCAAAGGAACTCCCTGCGCAGCCGCAAGGAGGAGGAGACCTAATTATAATAAGAAGCGAGGGTAGGCGGGAATAGGTTATGAATATGCATAGGCGTCTCAGTGAATATGCAACGCTTTGTAACATAGAAGCAAGACTAGCAGGGCAGGGGGGCGCGCATGCTTGTTGTGGCGGAGCCATCCCCCACGTGCCCGGCGCCGAATAAACATACCTGCTTTACAACCCTTTGTTGTGAAGTCTTTCATCCGTAAATCACAGCTTTCCCGGTGGGAAAAGCTTGTAGCCATGCTGAGAGGTGAGGCGCGGTTAGCAGAGGGGCTCGTGTCCCTTGACGGGAGGCCGGTCCGAAGAATCGAGTGAGCGTCTTCGGATTGGAGAGGGTGCCCGCGGGATTTCCGGCGATGAAAGCAGGCGCCCCCTTGTCGGTCGGACGGACGCTGAGGAAGCCACGCAGCAGCACGAGGTGCCCAGGGGCGGGCCGTGGGAAAAAATGCCTTCCTTTTCCCGCGCGATGTGCCGAGGGAAGGTGAAGGGTGAGCCTGGGGCGCGGGTGGCCCCGAAGGTGCCCGGGGCAGTGGTCGGGGGGTGGCAGGCGTGGTGGTGCGCTGGGAGCCGAGAGGCCGGGAAGGTGCTGTGGCAGGGTCCCCGGTGGGTGTGGCGAGTGTGCGAGGGCTTTGCTCGGGCTGGGTTTGGCGAGGGCGAGTGTGCGGCCCGGCCTGTTGTCAGGAGCCTTTGTGGAGCTGGTGGAGCGGGAAAGGAGGCGGAGCTAAAGGCGGTGCTGGGGGGCGGAGCTGGCGGGGGCCACGGTGCAGCTACCCTCCCCTTAACAGGCCCCCCGGGGAAGCTAAGCAGGAGCGGCCCCGGTTCCAACCGGGATGGGAGACCGCAGGGGAGACTAGGGGCGGCCCCGGCTCCTGCCGGGACGGAAGACCGCCAGGGGAGACTGTAGGGGCGGCCCCGGCTCCTGCCGGGACACAAGACCGCCCAGGGACACCCTTTTTGGCGCCCGCTCTTTGCGGCAAAGGCTTTGGGCTCGCTCGCCCTGGCCTTGGTCGTCCTCCTTGGGAAGGCTCCTGGCGCGCCCCGTGGCCGCTGGCCGCAGGCTGGCGATGGCTCTAGGGCCACCCAGCAGCTCCTATTTTGTGGCGCCGGCGTGGCCGTGCCGGGCAGAGCGGGAGCTGTGTCTCGCGACTCCTTGGGGTCTGGTGGGCGCAGGGCTGCGAGGCCTTTGTGCCCAGCCAGGGTGGCGCGGGGGGCTTCCTTGGTGCCCTGGGAGGAGCCGGGGCCAGCTGGCGGAGCTGGGCCGGCCGCAGCGGTTGGCGAGGGGCATTTCTAATATCCCCGAGCGCTACTCCTAAACTGTCAGGCCGTTTCAAAGCTGCCGGCGTTGGTGTTTCCAGTCGTGTTCTGTGGAGAGACTGAATCCTTCTTTCCGTGTGTCTCTGCCCAGGACTGTGGAAGATACGGAGCCTGTGGCTGTTGGTGTGTTCTCGGTGGTTTGGAAATGCGGTTTGGTCTTGCAGCTGAAGAGTGTGAGGGTTGTGAGGTGCTCCCCTGGTTTCAGGGGTTGTGTAGGTGGGGATGATTTTGGGCAGGAGTGCGAATCGACCACCTGCTCAGTTGCAGCTGAAATGGGATATTAACCAAATTTGGTATTATGCTTGCACGAGACAAGAGACATTGCCTGTTTTGCTCTGCCTCTGTTTCCTATTCAAAAGAGGGCCCCCCCTTTCCTTCCCTTAAATAAGTGTGTATCAGCAAAAGATCACCTCACAACCGGCACAAACCAGCTCTGCGGTTTAGCCCAGGTCCAGGAGGCGACAGAGACTGCGCAGGAATTCAGGATGAAAAGTTAAGCAGTGAGGAAGAGGAGATACTTCCTCCCACGACCACTGCCCAGCTCTTCACGACCCCCGCCCAGGACCAAAGGAACTCCCTGCGCAGCCGCAAGGAGGAGGAGACCTAATTATAATAAGAAGCGAGGGTAGGCGGGAATAGGTTATGAATATGCATAGGCGTCTCGTGAATATGCAACGCTTTGTAACATAGAAGCAAGACTAGCAGGGCAGGGGGGCGCGCATGCTTGTTGTGGCGGAGCCATCCCCCACGTGCCCGGCGCCGAATAAACATACCTGCTTTACAACCCTTTGTTGTGAAGTCTTTCATCCGTAAATCACAGCTTTCCCGGTGGGAAAAGCTTGTAGCCATGCTGAGAGGTGAGGCGCGGTTAGCAGAGGGGCTCGTGTCCCTTGACGGGAGGCCGGTCCGAAGAATCGAGTGAGCGTCTTCGGATTGGAGAGGGTGCCCGCGGGATTTCCGGCGATGAAAGCAGGCGCCCCCTTGTCGGTCGGACGGACGCTGAGGAAGCCACGCAGCAGCACGAGGTGCCCAGGGGCGGGCCGTGGGAAAAAATGCCTTCCTTTTCCCGCGCGATGTGCCGAGGGAAGGTGAAGGGTGAGCCTGGGGCGCGGGTGGCCCCGAAGGTGCCCGGGGCAGTGGTCGGGGGGTGGCAGGCGTGGTGGTGCGCTGGGAGCCGAGAGGCCGGGAAGGTGCTGTGGCAGGGTCCCCGGTGGGTGTGGCGAGTGTGCGAGGGCTTTGCTCGGGCTGGGTTTGGCGAGGGCGAGTGTGCGGCCCGGCCTGTTGTCAGGAGCCTTTGTGGAGCTGGTGGAGCGGGAAAGGAGGCGGAGCTAAAGGCGGTGCTGGGGGGCGGAGCTGGCGGGGGCCACGGTGCAGCTACCCTCCCCTTAACAGGCCCCCCGGGGAAGCTAAGCAGGAGCGGCCCCGGTTCCAACCGGGATGGGAGACCGCAGGGGAGACTAGGGGCGGCCCCGGCTCCTGCCGGGACGGAAGACCGCCAGGGGAGACTGTAGGGGCGGCCCCGGCTCCTGCCGGGACACAAGACCGCCCAGGGACACCCTTTTTGGCGCCCGCTCTTTGCGGCAAAGGCTTTGGGCTCGCTCGCCCTGGCCTTGGTCGTCCTCCTTGGGAAGGCTCCTGGCGCGCCCCGTGGCCGCTGGCCGCAGGCTGGCGATGGCTCTAGGGCCACCCAGCAGCTCCTATTTTGTGGCGCCGGCGTGGCCGTGCCGGGCAGAGCGGGAGCTGTGTCTCGCGACTCCTTGGGGTCTGGTGGGCGCAGGGCTGCGAGGCCTTTGTGCCCAGCCAGGGTGGCGCGGGGGGCTTCCTTGGTGCCCTGGGAGGAGCCGGGGCCAGCTGGCGGAGCTGGGCCGGCCGCAGCGGTTGGCGAGGGGCATTTCTAATATCCCCGAGCGCTACTCCTAAACTGTCAGGCCGTTTCAAAGCTGCCGGCGTTGGTGTTTCCAGTCGTGTTCTGTGGAGAGACTGAATCCTTCTTTCCGTGTGTCTCTGCCCAGGACTGTGGAAGATACGGAGCCTGTGGCTGTTGGTGTGTTCTCGGTGGTTTGGAAATGCGGTTTGGTCTTGCAGCTGAAGAGTGTGAGGGTTGTGAGGTGCTCCCCTGGTTTCAGGGGTTGTGTAGGTGGGGATGATTTTGGGCAGGAGTGCGAATCGACCACCTGCTCAGTTGCAGCTGAAATGGGATATTAACCAAATTTGGTATTATGCTTGCACGAGACAAGAGACATTGCCTGTTTTGCTCTGCCTCTGTTTCCTATTCAAAAGAGGGCCCCCCCTTTCCTTCCCTTAAATAAGTGTGTATCAGCAAAAGATCACCTCACAACCGGCACAAACCAGCTCTGCGGTTTAGCCCAGGTCCAGGAGGCGACAGAGACTGCGCAGGAATTCAGGATGAAAAGTTAAGCAGTGAGGAAGAGGAGATACTTCCTCCCACGACCACTGCCCAGCTCTTCACGACCCCCGCCCAGGACCAAAGGAACTCCCTGCGCAGCCGCAAGGAGGAGGAGACCTAATTATAATAAGAAGCGAGGGTAGGCGGGAATAGGTTATGAATATGCATAGGCGTCTCGTGAATATGCAACGCTTTGTAACATAGAAGCAAGACTAGCAGGGCAGGGGGGCGCGCATGCTTGTTGTGGCGGAGCCATCCCCCACGTGCCCGGCGCCGAATAAACATACCTGCTTTACAACCCTTTGTTGTGAAGTCTTTCATCCGTAAATCACAGCTTTCCCGGTGGGAAAAGCTTGTAGCCATGCTGAGAGGTGAGGCGCGGTTAGCAGAGGGGCTCGTGTCCCTTGACGGGAGGCCGGTCCGAAGAATCGAGTGAGCGTCTTCGGATTGGAGAGGGTGCCCGCGGGATTTCCGGCGATGAAAGCAGGCGCCCCCTTGTCGGTCGGACGGACGCTGAGGAAGCCACGCAGCAGCACGAGGTGCCCAGGGGCGGGCCGTGGGAAAAAATGCCTTCCTTTTCCCGCGCGATGTGCCGAGGGAAGGTGAAGGGTGAGCCTGGGGCGCGGGTGGCCCCGAAGGTGCCCGGGGCAGTGGTCGGGGGGTGGCAGGCGTGGTGGTGCGCTGGGAGCCGAGAGGCCGGGAAGGTGCTGTGGCAGGGTCCCCGGTGGGTGTGGCGAGTGTGCGAGGGCTTTGCTCGGGCTGGGTTTGGCGAGGGCGAGTGTGCGGCCCGGCCTGTTGTCAGGAGCCTTTGTGGAGCTGGTGGAGCGGGAAAGGAGGCGGAGCTAAAGGCGGTGCTGGGGGGCGGAGCTGGCGGGGGCCACGGTGCAGCTACCCTCCCCTTAACAGGCCCCCCGGGGAAGCTAAGCAGGAGCGGCCCCGGTTCCAACCGGGATGGGAGACCGCAGGGGAGACTAGGGGCGGCCCCGGCTCCTGCCGGGACGGAAGACCGCCAGGGGAGACTGTAGGGGCGGCCCCGGCTCCTGCCGGGACACAAGACCGCCCAGGGACACCCTTTTTGGCGCCCGCTCTTTGCGGCAAAGGCTTTGGGCTCGCTCGCCCTGGCCTTGGTCGTCCTCCTTGGGAAGGCTCCTGGCGCGCCCCGTGGCCGCTGGCCGCAGGCTGGCGATGGCTCTAGGGCCACCCAGCAGCTCCTATTTTGTGGCGCCGGCGTGGCCGTGCCGGGCAGAGCGGGAGCTGTGTCTCGCGACTCCTTGGGGTCTGGTGGGCGCAGGGCTGCGAGGCCTTTGTGCCCAGCCAGGGTGGCGCGGGGGGCTTCCTTGGTGCCCTGGGAGGAGCCGGGGCCAGCTGGCGGAGCTGGGCCGGCCGCAGCGGTTGGCGAGGGGCATTTCTAATATCCCCGAGCGCTACTCCTAAACTGTCAGGCCGTTTCAAAGCTGCCGGCGTTGGTGTTTCCAGTCGTGTTCTGTGGAGAGACTGAATCCTTCTTTCCGTGTGTCTCTGCCCAGGACTGTGGAAGATACGGAGCCTGTGGCTGTTGGTGTGTTCTCGGTGGTTTGGAAATGCGGTTTGGTCTTGCAGCTGAAGAGTGTGAGGGTTGTGAGGTGCTCCCCTGGTTTCAGGGGTTGTGTAGGTGGGGATCATTTTGGGCAGGAGTGCGAATCGACCACCTGCTCAGTTGCAGCTGAAATGGGATATTAACCAAATTTGGTATTATGCTTGCACGAGACAAGAGACATTGCCTGTTTTGCTCTGCCTCTGTTTCCTATTCAAAAGAGGGCCCCCCCTTTCCTTCCCTTAAATAAGTGTGTATCAGCAAAAGATCACCTCACAACCGGCACAAACCAGCTCTGCGGTTTAGCCCAGGTCCAGGAGGCGACAGAGACTGCGCAGGAATTCAGGATGAAAAGTTAAGCAGTGAGGAAGAGGAGATACTTCCTCCCACGACCACTGCCCAGCTCTTCACGACCCCCGCCCAGGACCAAAGGAACTCCCTGCGCAGCCGCAAGGAGGAGGAGACCTAATTATAATAAGAAGCGAGGGTAGGCGGGAATAGGTTATGAATATGCATAGGCGTCTCAGTGAATATGCAACGCTTTGTAACATAGAAGCAAGACTAGCAGGGCAGGGGGGCGCGCATGCTTGTTGTGGCGGAGCCATCCCCCACGTGCCCGGCGCCGAATAAACATACCTGCTTTACAACCCTTTGTTGTGAAGTCTTTCATCCGTAAATCACAGCTTTCCCGGTGGGAAAAGCTTGTAGCCATGCTGAGAGGTGAGGCGCGGTTAGCAGAGGGGCTCGTGTCCCTTGACGGGAGGCCGGTCCGAAGAATCGAGTGAGCGTCTTCGGATTGGAGAGGGTGCCCGCGGGATTTCCGGCGATGAAAGCAGGCGCCCCCTTGTCGGTCGGACGGACGCTGAGGAAGCCACGCAGCAGCACGAGGTGCCCAGGGGCGGGCCGTGGGAAAAAATGCCTTCCTTTTCCCGCGCGATGTGCCGAGGGAAGGTGAAGGGTGAGCCTGGGGCGCGGGTGGCCCCGAAGGTGCCCGGGGCAGTGGTCGGGGGGTGGCAGGCGTGGTGGTGCGCTGGGAGCCGAGAGGCCGGGAAGGTGCTGTGGCAGGGTCCCCGGTGGGTGTGGCGAGTGTGCGAGGGCTTTGCTCGGGCTGGGTTTGGCGAGGGCGAGTGTGCGGCCCGGCCTGTTGTCAGGAGCCTTTGTGGAGCTGGTGGAGCGGGAAAGGAGGCGGAGCTAAAGGCGGTGCTGGGGGGCGGAGCTGGCGGGGGCCACGGTGCAGCTACCCTCCCCTTAACAGGCCCCCCGGGGAAGCTAAGCAGGAGCGGCCCCGGTTCCAACCGGGATGGGAGACCGCAGGGGAGACTAGGGGCGGCCCCGGCTCCTGCCGGGACGGAAGACCGCCAGGGGAGACTGTAGGGGCGGCCCCGGCTCCTGCCGGGACACAAGACCGCCCAGGGACACCCTTTTTGGCGCCCGCTCTTTGCGGCAAAGGCTTTGGGCTCGCTCGCCCTGGCCTTGGTCGTCCTCCTTGGGAAGGCTCCTGGCGCGCCCCGTGGCCGCTGGCCGCAGGCTGGCGATGGCTCTAGGGCCACCCAGCAGCTCCTATTTTGTGGCGCCGGCGTGGCCGTGCCGGGCAGAGCGGGAGCTGTGTCTCGCGACTCCTTGGGGTCTGGTGGGCGCAGGGCTGCGAGGCCTTTGTGCCCAGCCAGGGTGGCGCGGGGGGCTTCCTTGGTGCCCTGGGAGGAGCCGGGGCCAGCTGGCGGAGCTGGGCCGGCCGCAGCGGTTGGCGAGGGGCATTTCTAATATCCCCGAGCGCTACTCCTAAACTGTCAGGCCGTTTCAAAGCTGCCGGCGTTGGTGTTTCCAGTCGTGTTCTGTGGAGAGACTGAATCCTTCTTTCCGTGTGTCTCTGCCCAGGACTGTGGAAGATACGGAGCCTGTGGCTGTTGGTGTGTTCTCGGTGGTTTGGAAATGCGGTTTGGTCTTGCAGCTGAAGAGTGTGAGGGTTGTGAGGTGCTCCCCTGGTTTCAGGGGTTGTGTAGGTGGGGATGATTTTGGGCAGGAGTGCGAATCGACCACCTGCTCAGTTGCAGCTGAAATGGGATATTAACCAAATTTGGTATTATGCTTGCACGAGACAAGAGACATTGCCTGTTTTGCTCTGCCTCTGTTTCCTATTCAAAAGAGGGCCCCCCCTTTCCTTCCCTTAAATAAGTGTGTATCAGCAAAAGATCACCTCACAACCGGCACAAACCAGCTCTGCGGTTTAGCCCAGGTCCAGGAGGCGACAGAGACTGCGCAGGAATTCAGGATGAAAAGTTAAGCAGTGAGGAAGAGGAGATACTTCCTCCCACGACCACTGCCCAGCTCTTCACGACCCCCGCCCAGGACCAAAGGAACTCCCTGCGCAGCCGCAAGGAGGAGGAGACCTAATTATAATAAGAAGCGAGGGTAGGCGGGAATAGGTTATGAATATGCATAGGCGTCTCGTGAATATGCAACGCTTTGTAACATAGAAGCAAGACTAGCAGGGCAGGGGGGGCGCGCATGCTTGTTGTGGCGGAGCCATCCCCCACGTGCCCGGCGCCGAATAAACATACCTGCTTTACAACCCTTTGTTGTGAAGTCTTTCATCCGTAAATCACAGCTTTCCCGGTGGGAAAAGCTTGTAGCCATGCTGAGAGGTGAGGCGCGGTTAGCAGAGGGGCTCGTGTCCCTTGACGGGAGGCCGGTCCGAAGAATCGAGTGAGCGTCTTCGGATTGGAGAGGGTGCCCGCGGGATTTCCGGCGATGAAAGCAGGCGCCCCCTTGTCGGTCGGACGGACGCTGAGGAAGCCACGCAGCAGCACGAGGTGCCCAGGGGCGGGCCGTGGGAAAAAAATGCCTTCCTTTTCCCGCGCGATGTGCCGAGGGAAGGTGAAGGGTGAGCCTGGGGCGCGGGTGGCCCCGAAGGTGCCCGGGGCAGTGGTCGGGGGGTGGCAGGCGTGGTGGTGCGCTGGGAGCCGAGAGGCCGGGAAGGTGCTGTGGCAGGGTCCCCGGTGGGTGTGGCGAGTGTGCGAGGGCTTTGCTCGGGCTGGGTTTGGCGAGGGCGAGTGTGCGGCCCGGCCTGTTGTCAGGAGCCTTTGTGGAGCTGGTGGAGCGGGAAAGGAGGCGGAGCTAAAGGCGGTGCTGGGGGGCGGAGCTGGCGGGGGCCACGGTGCAGCTACCCTCCCCTTAACAGGCCCCCCGGGGAAGCTAAGCAGGAGCGGCCCCGGTTCCAACCGGGATGGGAGACCGCAGGGGAGACTAGGGGCGGCCCCGGCTCCTGCCGGGACGGAAGACCGCCAGGGGAGACTGTAGGGGCGGCCCCGGCTCCTGCCGGGACACAAGACCGCCCAGGGACACCCTTTTTGGCGCCCGCTCTTTGCGGCAAAGGCTTTGGGCTCGCTCGCCCTGGCCTTGGTCGTCCTCCTTGGGAAGGCTCCTGGCGCGCCCCGTGGCCGCTGGCCGCAGGCTGGCGATGGCTCTAGGGCCACCCAGCAGCTCCTATTTTGTGGCGCCGGCGTGGCCGTGCCGGGCAGAGCGGGAGCTGTGTCTCGCGACTCCTTGGGGTCTGGTGGGCGCAGGGCTGCGAGGCCTTTGTGCCCAGCCAGGGTGGCGCGGGGGGCTTCCTTGGTGCCCTGGCAGGAGCCGGGGCCAGCTGGCGGAGCTGGGCCGGCCGCAGCGGTTGGCGAGGGGCATTTCTAATATCCCCGAGCGCTACTCCTAAACTGTCAGGCCGTTTCAAAGCTGCCGGCGTTGGTGTTTCCAGTCGTGTTCTGTGGAGAGACTGAATCCTTCTTTCCGTGTGTCTCTGCCCAGGACTGTGGAAGATACGGAGCCTGTGGCTGTTGGTGTGTTCTCGGTGGTTTGGAAATGCGGTTTGGTCTTGCAGCTGAAGAGTGTGAGGGTTGTGAGGTGCTCCCCTGGTTTCAGGGGTTGTGTAGGTGGGGATGATTTTGGGCAGGAGTGCGAATCGACCACCTGCTCAGTTGCAGCTGAAATGGGATATTAACCAAATTTGGTATTATGCTTGCACGAGACAAGAGACATTGCCTGTTTTGCTCTGCCTCTGTTTCCTATTCAAAAGAGGGCCCCCCCTTTCCTTCCCTTAAATAAGTGTGTATCAGCAAAAGATCACCTCACAACCGGCACAAACCAGCTCTGCGGTTTAGCCCAGGTCCAGGAGGCGACAGAGACTGCGCAGGAATTCAGGATGAAAAGTTAAGCAGTGAGGAAGAGGAGATACTTCCTCCCACGACCACTGCCCAGCTCTTCACGACCCCCGCCCAGGACCAAAGGAACTCCCTGCGCAGCCGCAAGGAGGAGGAGACCTAATTATAATAAGAAGCGAGGGTAGGCGGGAATAGGTTATGAATATGCATAGGCGTCTCGTGAATATGCAACGCTTTGTAACATAGAAGCAAGACTAGCAGGGCAGGGGGGCGCGCATGCTTGTTGTGGCGGAGCCATCCCCCACGTGCCCGGCGCCGAATAAACATACCTGCTTTACAACCCTTTGTTGTGAAGTCTTTCATCCGTAAATCACAGCTTTCCCGGTGGGAAAAGCTTGTAGCCATGCTGAGAGGTGAGGCGCGGTTAGCAGAGGGGCTCGTGTCCCTTGACGGGAGGCCGGTCCGAAGAATCGAGTGAGCGTCTTCGGATTGGAGAGGGTGCCCGCGGGATTTCCGGCGATGAAAGCAGGCGCCCCCTTGTCGGTCGGACGGACGCTGAGGAAGCCACGCAGCAGCACGAGGTGCCCAGGGGCGGGCCGTGGGAAAAAATGCCTTCCTTTTCCCGCGCGATGTGCCGAGGGAAGGTGAAGGGTGAGCCTGGGGCGCGGGTGGCCCCGAAGGTGCCCGGGGCAGTGGTCGGGGGGTGGCAGGCGTGGTGGTGCGCTGGGAGCCGAGAGGCCGGGAAGGTGCTGTGGCAGGGTCCCCGGTGGGTGTGGCGAGTGTGCGAGGGCTTTGCTCGGGCTGGGTTTGGCGAGGGCGAGTGTGCGGCCCGGCCTGTTGTCAGGAGCCTTTGTGGAGCTGGTGGAGCGGGAAAGGAGGCGGAGCTAAAGGCGGTGCTGGGGGGCGGAGCTGGCGGGGGCCACGGTGCAGCTACCCTCCCCTTAACAGGCCCCCCGGGGAAGCTAAGCAGGAGCGGCCCCGGTTCCAACCGGGATGGGAGACCGCAGGGGAGACTAGGGGCGGCCCCGGCTCCTGCCGGGACGGAAGACCGCCAGGGGAGACTGTAGGGGCGGCCCCGGCTCCTGCCGGGACACAAGACCGCCCAGGGACACCCTTTTTGGCGCCCGCTCTTTGCGGCAAAGGCTTTGGGCTCGCTCGCCCTGGCCTTGGCTCGTCCTCCTTGGGAAGGCTCCTGGCGCGCCCCGTGGCCGCTGGCCGCAGGCTGGCGATGGCTCTAGGGCCACCCAGCAGCTCCTATTTTGTGGCGCCGGCGTGGCCGTGCCGGGCAGAGCGGGAGCTGTGTCTCGCGACTCCTTGGGGTCTGGTGGGCGCAGGGCTGCGAGGCCTTTGTGCCCAGCCAGGGTGGCGCGGGGGGCTTCCTTGGTGCCCTGGCAGGAGCCGGGGCCAGCTGGCGGAGCTGGGCCGGCCGCAGCGGTTGGCGAGGGGCATTTCTAATATCCCCGAGCGCTACTCCTAAACTGTCAGGCCGTTTCAAAGCTGCCGGCGTTGGTGTTTCCAGTCGTGTTCTGTGGAGAGACTGAATCCTTCTTTCCGTGTGTCTCTGCCCAGGACTGTGGAAGATACGGAGCCTGTGGCTGTTGGTGTGTTCTCGGTGGTTTGGAAATGCGGTTTGGTCTTGCAGCTGAAGAGTGTGAGGGTTGTGAGGTGCTCCCCTGGTTTCAGGGGTTGTGTAGGTGGGGATCATTTTGGGCAGGAGTGCGAATCGACCACCTGCTCAGTTGCAGCTGAAATGGGATATTAACCAAATTTGGTATTATGCTTGCACGAGACAAGAGACATTGCCTGTTTTGCTCTGCCTCTGTTTCCTATTCAAAAGAGGGCCCCCCCTTTCCTTCCCTTAAATAAGTGTGTATCAGCAAAAGATCACCTCACAACCGGCACAAACCAGCTCTGCGGTTTAGCCCAGGTCCAGGAGGCGACAGAGACTGCGCAGGAATTCAGGATGAAAAGTTAAGCAGTGAGGAAGAGGAGATACTTCCTCCCACGACCACTGCCCAGCTCTTCACGACCCCCGCCCAGGACCAAAGGAACTCCCTGCGCAGCCGCAAGGAGGAGGAGACCTAATTATAATAAGAAGCGAGGGTAGGCGGGAATAGGTTATGAATATGCATAGGCGTCTCGTGAATATGCAACGCTTTGTAACATAGAAGCAAGACTAGCAGGGCAGGGGGGCGCGCATGCTTGTTGTGGCGGAGCCATCCCCCACGTGCCCGGCGCCGAATAAACATACCTGCTTTACAACCCTTTGTTGTGAAGTCTTTCATCCGTAAATCACAGCTTTCCCGGTGGGAAAAGCTTGTAGCCATGCTGAGAGGTGAGGCGCGGTTAGCAGAGGGGCTCGTGTCCCTTGACGGGAGGCCGGTCCGAAGAATCGAGTGAGCGTCTTCGGACTGGAGAGGGTGCCCGCGGGATTTCCGGCGATGAAAGCAGGCGCCCCCTTGTCGGTCGGACGGACGCTGAGGAAGCCACGCAGCAGCACGAGGTGCCCAGGGGCGGGCCGTGGGAAAAAATGCCTTCCTTTTCCCGCGCGATGTGCCGAGGGAAGGTGAAGGGTGAGCCTGGGGCGCGGGTGGCCCCGAAGGTGCCCGGGGCAGTGGTCGGGGGGTGGCAGGCGTGGTGGTGCGCTGGGAGCCGAGAGGCCGGGAAGGTGCTGTGGCAGGGTCCCCGGTGGGTGTGGCGAGTGTGCGAGGGCTTTGCTCGGGCTGGGTTTGGCGAGGGCGAGTGTGCGGCCCGGCCTGTTGTCAGGAGCCTTTGTGGAGCTGGTGGAGCGGGAAAGGAGGCGGAGCTAAAGGCGGTGCTGGGGGGCGGAGCTGGCGGGGGCCACGGTGCAGCTACCCTCCCCTTAACAGGCCCCCCGGGGAAGCTAAGCAGGAGCGGCCCCGGTTCCAACCGGGATGGGAGACCGCAGGGGAGACTAGGGGCGGCCCCGGCTCCTGCCGGGACGGAAGACCGCCAGGGGAGACTGTAGGGGCGGCCCCGGCTCCTGCCGGGACACAAGACCGCCCAGGGACACCCTTTTTGGCGCCCGCTCTTTGCGGCAAAGGCTTTGGGCTCGCTCGCCCTGGCCTTGGCTCGTCCTCCTTGGGAAGGCTCCTGGCGCGCCCCGTGGCCGCTGGCCGCAGGCTGGCGATGGCTCTAGGGCCACCCAGCAGCTCCTATTTTGTGGCGCCGGCGTGGCCGTGCCGGGCAGAGCGGGAGCTGTGTCTCGCGACTCCTTGGGGTCTGGTGGGCGCAGGGCTGCGAGGCCTTTGTGCCCAGCCAGGGTGGCGCGGGGGGCTTCCTTGGTGCCCTGGGAGGAGCCGGGGCCAGCTGGCGGAGCTGGGCCGGCCGCAGCG